CTGCTCGACCAATTTGCCGACACAGCTGCAGCTAAGAATTTCTTCTCATGTCTGGATTTCCAGCTTAATAAAGTGAATCAATTCTTCAAGACAAAGGAGGCGGAGTTCATGGAGAGAGGAGATAGCTTGAAGAAACAGCTGGAGATTCTCATTGAACTGAAAACGGCGATCCAGCGCCGGCGACAGACCGGCGATATTGCAGCTGATTCTAGGGAGGATGGTTCCATCTCCTACACGATTTCTTGTGGTAAATCATCAGCTGAGCTGCCAACTTGTCGGAATCTGCTGTAGTTGTGTGTTTTATGTTTTGTTTTGATATGCAGAGGACAAAACAGAGCAAGAACAGTCCCAAGAGAACAACATTAACGACGAATTGGAGAAGACAGAGTTGGCATTTTCAGACTCGCCAAGATCCGAAGAAATGGGAAATTCGACAAGAACTAAAATCTTGGATCGTAAATGGAGATCCTTTTCCGGTCGGGTGATCAGTTTTCAAGGGAAGAACATAAAAATGAACATTCCTCTGACAAACCCATCTCGGACTTTCTCGGCTATAAGCCATTTATTCAGGGAAGATTTGGCGAACTCAAAGAAATGCAATGAAGGAACAAAACTTCACATTAACAAGACCAGGTTGCACCATGCAGAGAAGATGATCAAAGGAGCTTTTGTTGAGCTGTATAAGGGGCTGGGGTTTCTCAAAACTTACAGGCAATTGAATTTGCTTGCCTTTATAAAGATTTTGAAGAAGTTTGATAAAGTAAGTAAAAATGGGTACTCATAATTCATTTGTTCCATCATTGCCTCTGAAATCTTGCTTGTAATCATAAAAGATCCTGCTTTTTTGCAGGTCACTGGAAAACAAGTTCTTCCCATTTATCTGAAAGTTGTGGAAAGTTCTTATTTCAACAGCTCCGACAAGGTAAATTTGTTATCATTATTCGAAAAACCGATTCAAATAGAGCATCAAAGTTATTAAAACGCGTCGACTAGGGAAAGGTTTCACACCCTTATAAAGAATATTTCGTTCTCCTCTCCAACCGACGTGGGATCTCACAATCCACCCCTTTGGGGCCCAGCATCTTTGTTGGCACTCGTTCGCTTCTCCAATCAATGTAGGACCCCCAATTCACCCTTTTCGAGGCCCAGCGTTCTTACTAGCACACCGCTTCATATCCACCCTCCTTCCAGACTTAGCCTTCTTGTTGGCACATCGTGCTTAGTGTCTGGCTCTAAATACCATTTGTAATAGCCGATGCTATCGCTAGTAGATATTGTCCTTTTTGGACTTTCCTTTTCGAGCTTCCTCTCAAGGTTTTTAAAGCACATCTGATTGGGAGAGATTTAAAGAATGTTTCGTTCTCCTCCCCAACCGATCATGTCTAGATTTAGATCATTAGCAGCTGAAATCTTCCCATGAAAAAGCTCTCAGACAATGTGAAGTGGCTATTGGTCTCATAGTTTGTCATGTCTGTCCTGTGGCCTCAAATTCATATGAATACTTAAATTATTTTAGAACCTGAAAAAGAAAGTTGGAGTAAAGTCTTGGAAATGACAGGCTACAAAGCTAGCAGATGAGGTAGAGGAGCTGTTCATCAAAAACTTTGCTGAGGATGACAAAAGAAAGGCCATGAAATACCTTAAACCAAAGCAGCGTAAAGAGTCACACGGCATTACCTTCTTCGTCGGTGAGTTCTTTTAGTGTCTATTCACCAGGCTGTGCCACACCCACACCCACATCACACCACTTGGCTTTGAACTGAAGGCCATTTTCCCTGAACAGGACTGTTCACTGGTTGCTTCATTGCGCTTCTAGCTGGTTATGTTATCATGGCTCATATCATGGGGACGTACAAAAGGCACCCTTTCTCTCTTTACATGGAGACTGTCTATCCAATACTTAGGCAAGTATATTTGTACATCTTTTTCTTAATACTCTTTGCAAGTAATTAACAAAATGAAACATGTTTACAGCATGTTCAGCTTGATGTTCTTGCATTTCTTCCTCTATGGCTGCAACATCTTTGCATGGAGAAAGACTCGGATCAATTACAGCTTCATTTTCGAGCTATCGGCGACGAAGGAACTTAAATATCGAGACGTGTTCTTGATATGTACCACTTCAATGACTGCTGTTATTGGTGTCATGTTTGTTCATTTGACACTGCTTTCAAAAGGCTACTCTTATACTCAAGTTCAAGTCATCCCTGGCCTTCTCTTGCTGGTAATGTCTCAACATGAAGCCATATTTTGGTCTCTAGGCTACTCTTAGATTTTGTAAACATTTTCCTCATGTCACAGATGTTCTTGCTGCTACTCGTGTGCCCCTTCGACGTTTATTATCGATCGAGTCGCTACTGTTTCCTACGTGTGATCAGAAATATAGCGTTTTCACCTCTCTACAAGGTAAATCCTTTCTCCAATGATTCATCCTCCATCATTTTAGCTTCATCAAGGTGAACTTGGAAGCTTATAATGTTCTCATCACTTTCTCAATTACTTTATGCAGGTAGTGATGATGGACTTCTTCATGGCTGATCAGCTATGTAGTCAGGTATGTCTATAAATCAGCATTCTTAGCGAAAAATGTGAGGTCCCACGTTGGTTGGAGAGGTGAACGAAGCATCCATTATAAGGAAGTGGAACCTCTCCCTAGTAGACACGTTTTAAAACTGTTAGGCTGACGGCCATACGTAACGAGCTGAAACAAACAATATCTACTAGTGGTGGGCTTGAGCTGTTACAATTAGTATCAAAGCTGGACACCGAACGGTATGCTAGCAAGGACGCTGGGTCCCAAGAGGGTGGATTGTGAGGTCTCACACCAGTTAGGGGAGGAGAACGGAACATTCCTTATAAGGGTGTGGAAACCTCTCCCTAGTAGACGCGTTTTAAAACCATGAGGCTGATAGCGATACGTAACGGGCCGAAACGGACAATATCTGCTAGCGGTAGTGGTGGGCATGGACTGTTCCAAATAGTATTAGAGCCAGACGCAGGGCGGTGTGCCAGCGAGGACGTTGGGCTCCAAAGGGAGTGGATTGTGAGGTCTCACATCGATTGGAGAGTGGAACGAAACATTCCTTTAAGGAAGTGGAAACCTTTCCCTAGTAGACGCATTTTAAAACCGTGAGGCTGAAGGTGATACGTAAGGGTCTGTAGCGGACAATATCTGCTAGTGGTGAGTTTAAGCTGTTACAGAAAACAACTTTCCTCATAACGGTTTGTGGTTTAGGTCCCGTTGCTGCGAAACCTCCAGTACATGGCCTGTTACTACATAACAGGAAGCTACAAAACACAGAATTACAACTACTGTATGAACGGCAAGCATTACCGAGATCTCGCTTATGCCGTTTCGTTTCTACCTTACTACTGGAGAGCAATGCAGGTATAGGATTGATATCATTTGCACTATACTTTCATCAACAAAGCCTAACAAGCCTTCTAATTTTTGTGTTTTCAGTGTGCAAGGCGCTGGTTTGATGAGGGACAAACAAGCCACCTTGTCAATCTAGGAAAGTATGTGTCTGCAATGTTGGCTGCTGGGGCCAAAGTGGCATATGAGAAAGACAAGGCCAAAGGAGTTGGATGGCTATGTCTTGTGGTGGTCATGTCAAGTGGAGCAACAGTTTACCAATTGTATTGGGACTTTGTAAAGGACTGGGGATTGCTTCAAGTGAACTCCAAAAATCCATGGCTTAGGAATGATCTAATGCTTAAACGAAAGACCATTTACTACTTCTCTATGGTATAATCACGAGTCCCGACAACGCTCCGTTTTTTGGTTTCGATAACTTTCGTAGCAGAGAAATCTATCAGTCCCCAATGGAAAAAGATTTAGCACTCAAAATGATTCTTGAAATTTCCTCTTAATTGGCTCATATTTTAGTAAGGAAAAAGCAATATTCTTAATCTCCTCCTGATAAGATGGAAATAGAATCTAATACTTTGGTATGTTGGCAGGGCTTGAACTTCATGCTTAGGCTTGCATGGTTGCAAACTGTTCTTCATTCAACTTTTGGACATGTTGATTCAAGAGTTACTGGACTGTTCTTAGCAGCTCTTGAAGTCATTAGAAGAGGGCTGTGGAACTTTTTCAGGTAAAAGTTACGAACTTTTCGGTTTATCGAACTGTTCGAGTCGTTCTTCTTTTTGGTCACTGTAATAAGCATCTGTCCCAATGGCCCAGGTTGGAGAATGAGCATCTTAATAATGCTGGAAAATTTAGAGCAGTTAATCCAGTGCCACTTCCATTTGATGAAGTTGATGAGGTAGAGTGATGCCTATCAGCAGCAGTCACGAACGGGATTCGAATCGACACGGACCGATGATTTCGTGGAACGTGTTTTTCGAGAGGAATCTTATTGTCCCCTTTCACAATCAGCAAGGAAGCAACTTGATTCTTGTTGTGGTTCAGTGAAATTTGGGACAGTTCAGTTCATACACTTGTATACCATTTTTTCTGATTTGATCAATGAAATGAAAATCATTCAAAATTGCATAGTTTTATTCTTCAATCAATAAATTCTTGTAGATGCTGCTTAAGCTCACCGCTAATTGATATTGTCTTCTTTAAACTTTTTCTTTCTAACTTTCCCTTCAAATTTTAAAACGTGTATGTTAGAAAGGTTTCCACGCTCTCATAAGAAATGTTTTGTTTCATTCTCCAATTAATGTGGGATCTCAAATCCACTCCCCTTAGGCTCAGCATCCTGCTCGCATACCGTTCGGTATTTGACTTTGATACCATTTGTAATAGTTCAAGCCTACTGTTAGCCGATGTTAGCAGATATTATCCTCTCGAGACCATTTACTTTATATGTCAATTAACATGTATAGCTTTAATTTGTTTTAAAAAAGGGGTTATTTTATCACAAATTTTTAGGTGATCCATACAAAAACTCTATATGTCAACGGATTAACAGTTGGAATTACCGTTGGTGTACCAATATTCTTCAATCAGCAGGATGAAGTGTCGTTTTTGGTAGTTGGAGAAATACGACATGTCGGCTTTCTAGAGTATGTAGAAAGCACCTGGAGGGGAGCGAACTGTATAAGCGACCACCGAATCCATGGCAGCGGCAAAGACACTGTGTTTTTCGTCTCCCGCGCTTCTTCAGCAATCCTTTAACCCTTCCCAGACTCGGCCGCATCCATCTATCAAGGCATTCAGACCTATCGTCTCTTCGAAAGCAAACCCTAGCAATGGCTTCTTCATTAGGTAAATAATCATTAGCTTCCGTCGTTCGGATTCTCGTCCTCACTGTGCTTTCTTTATTATTCCTTTCATCTATTTCCACTAGAAGCTTGAGCATTTCTTTTCCAGTAGTAGAAGCTTTCGTACAGCACCGGTTACTCGGGAAAACCGAAATAAGGTGCTTACGGTTTCAAGATTGGTGGATGGTGATTCTGGCGATGACGATGAATCTGCACAGAGAAATTCGGATACGGTACGAATAGCTAGCGGAAATCAATTCCATAATGAATCTCTTCATGTTCCAGTATTCTGTGTTTTGTTTGAATCAGTTAAAGCTTCATGTTGAATTGAGCTAGAGATTCTTGAACTTATGGATTGTGTTTATCTTTCTTCGATTTGCAGGGGGCAGCCATTGATATAAAGCTTCCAAGAAGAAGTTTGCTGGTGACGTTTACCTGTAACCAATGTGGTGATAGAACGAAGAGGCTCATCAATCGATTAGCTTACGAACGGGGGCTTGTTTTTGTTCAGGTACGCGCTGGTGCTTTTGTTTGCAAGTTGTATTCCAAAACAACAAAAGGAGGAGTATGTAGAGTGAAGCAGCATCTTTCTGGCGGTTATAGAAATATAACTACTTGCAAAAAAATGTTCATATCATATAAAAGAACTGAAGGATGAAAGAAATTTTGTACAAAAAATGGAAGATGTTGGTCTCACTTTTGATGAGGACGGTGATGATTTGTAGGTAAATTATCTAAGGAAGAGGTGTCATCTAGTCGAAGCCATCTTAAGCATCCATGTCTAAGTATTTTAAGATGGTTTTATGATGCTGGAATTCCCTTGAATGCTTGCAATTATGATAGTTTTTAGGACAGTATGGCGTTGGAATGAAACTGGCTGACTTACTATGAATTGAAAGTGTCAATCGTTTCTTGAATTTCTATGGGAGCTTTTGACTTCTGGATGCTTGCGATAGTGCTTATGATTGATTCATGGTAGCAAATGTTGTTACAGGGTTTCTTAATTTGGGTGGTCCGATGCTTACCAATTGATATTCTGTACAGTGTGCAGGGTGTCTAAAGTATCACAAACTGGTTGATAATCTTGGTCTTATTGTAGAGTATGACTTCCGAGATGACGACGTGGATGTGAACTCAAATTCAGATCAAGTTTGAAGTGTTTAAATGGTGTCATTTCCATGTTTGAATCGTTGTTGAAATATCATTTACATTGCTGGTGCACCTTTTTTTTCTTCTTATCCCTCTTGGTTATTAGCAATCCCATTGATTCCTCCTGGGACTGATATGGCAGGCAAAATGGATTGTTGGCTGTAGCATTTGATCGATAATGAAAGGTTGTAGGCATCAAAGAATTGTTAATATTTATTTTCAATCTTGCACAATGTATAAGACACCAATTATCTTTGATAGTTCATTCTCCGACTCTTACGATCGTTAGACCTCCAAAAAAGAGAATAATTGAACTGATCATCTCTTTGAATCAATAGAACAATATGTGGAAGACGCGATGCATCTTAGTGATAAATTTTGATTAGAAGTTCATTTGTACTCTCACTTGCATCAGACTGGCTCGTACGATGAGTGATCCTTTCTCTCTCGGTTTGCCTATTTTTTGAAGCTCCCAGAAGTTTTGTTTAAATGATGAACTTCATCTTGAAGTTTTTTCTTGAGCTGTTACAAATGGTATTAAAGTCACTAGACAGTGTGCCAATAAGGATCTCAATTGTGAGATCTCATATAGGTTAGAGAGGGAAACGATACATTTATAAGAGTGTGGAAACTTCTTTCATACAAAATGCGTTTTAAAACTTTGAGCAAAAACTCGAAATGAAAAAGCCTAAAAAAAATAATATTTATTAGCTGTGAACTTGGACGGAATTTTGTTAAGTTTTCAGCAACGAACGTGAAAGAGATTGGGTGGAGGTGTTCACTGATCGCGTAGCTGAAGCTCATGGTAGAACACAACCATCTGGGGCCGTCAGGTAGATGCCGCAGCTTTGAATCGGTGGGGTGTCTCGCCGATTCTGGAAACAGAGATCAGAATCAGAAGGCATTGATAAAGGATAACCCCGACCAGATTTCTAGGCTCCAAAATTCAAATGTATTCGGCCCGACCCAAATATTATTTTCATAAATGGGCTCATATCAACCGGCCCATCTTTAAAATGGTACATTTAGAATTGGGCTTTTACTAACACCGCTCGGCCCAAATGAAACGCTAAGAAATGTCGGTGGCTTGATTGAAGATAAGAGGATGTGGAAGGAAATTATGTGATAATTGTTCATTTTTGGGAACATTTCCGTAAAATTTAAATAAAATTTGTTATAAATTACTCGCATTTATCAAAATTTGGAGCTTTAATAGGTACCATTTAGTTTGTTTGTTTCAATAAATCTTTAAATTTCTAAAAGCAGAATTGAAGTAATAAAATATATAAATAAATAAATAAATGTAGAAAAGGAAAATAGGAAAAAAAAAGGAATGATCATTCGGCCGACATTTTCGACTTGGGATTTCTTTTTTTCTTTTTTCCACTGAAAAATCATTTAAATTACAATAATACCCTTACCACATCCGAGGCATGAGCACCACAAGATCGAACCCGACCCATCATCCCCGTTATTAATTCACCAACTTTCATACTTGGCCCAATCATCGTCTTCCACGTCATCCCTGCGTTTTGTTTTTTTTTTGGTTTCTTCTCCTCATGGGACACCTATAATGGGTTAAGCCATCCTCGTCTCTTATTAGTTTGATGCAACACTTAAAATATATGGTTCAAACGCATTTGATATTATAAATATTTTATATTAATACTTTTAAGTATTGGGTACGAAAACGACTTTGGTCCTATATTATTTATATTTAATTAAAAAATCTTCTAACCCGTTCGTGAAAAGTCAACACAACCAAGACAAACAAATAAAGAGATACTCAAATATTTAAATATTTAAAAACCAAAAGAGGTTAATCCAATAATTCATCTCTCCATTTATTATTATGATTAAATTTTATGAGATACGTGAAGTTTTGGTAAACACCCACGTGTAGGCAGATTGTTTGTTTAATTAAATTTTAATTACCAATCCAACCATATCATTTATTATTTATATTTTTTTTCTACTTTTAGGCTTAGTTCATATAAATTTTATTATTCTAACCATTTATTTATGATTAACTAATAATGAATCTCAAAATAAAATTACTTTACATGAAACTTTTTAATATAATGATATAAATAAAAGAATTGCTAACTAAAAAATTAGTACTAGAAAAATATTAATTAATTTAATAAAAAATATTTGACTTCAACCCATTAAATAATTAAACAAAGATTACATATAATAAATTAATAAAAAATAATACTTAAGTAAAGAAAGTTCATAATTTCACACACGGTACTATGTTGATCGGCTAACCAATCACTTATTTTATTAATTAATTAATTTTATTTATTTTAAGGTAGATTCGACATAATAAAATACAAATAAAAATGTCCCTCACATTCTATTTTCTCTGTATATGGATATATATAAGCTGCCTTTAGTTTTGTTATTTTCTTACCTGACTTTTTTTTTTATTTAATTCTTTAAATAATAAAATAAAAATTGAGTCTTATATATTATATTAATTTTTTATTTCCACTATCTCCTGAGTTGACGCCGTCATCATTCTGTCTCTGTTCCTTCATTTGTCTTCTTTTTCTTTTTGTCCGCGACAATCTTCTCTGTCAACTTCTATTATTTTTGTGGATTTTTTAAAAAATCTGTATATAAATATTAGTTTTAAATATATGTTTCATTTTCTTTTATTACTTTTGAAACAAAAATTAAGATAATCAATGTATTTATTTTTATAAAAAAAGTAAAAAAAAAAAAAAAAAAAAACTTGATTAAATGATTATAATAATAATATAAAATTTTATTAATTTTACACCCTTCTCTTTTAAATTAAAAAGTAAAATATTTTAATTTTTAATTGTAAAATCTGATACACGATAGTTTATGAAATAAACACGTTCAATAATTAATAATAATTAATATTAATTATTCTGCTTGAGAATATTGAAAATTGATACTTTAAAGAGAATAATATAAATTTAGAGAAAAAAAAAAAGTATAGTTCTAAAAAGTTCTCTATAAAATGTTACTTTTACTCCATATTTTGTCAACGAATAATTATATTGCTTGCAATTATTATAATATAATATGAATTATTAAATATGATAAAAGGGATTATCACACATCTATAAACAATAATTTATTTTTAGTTTATTTAAAAAAAAATTTAAACTTTTTTACTTTTCAAAATCATTTATAAAGTGGTAGCTAAATTTGGTAATAAATTAATATTTGATAACTACTTTTATAGGTATTTTTTTAATTTGTTTTTTTTAATTCTTACCTAAATCATAAAATAGTTAAAAAGAAACTGCTTTATTTTTTTTTTTCTATTTTAATTTAACTTGAAAAAAATGTTTTTTTTTATAATTAATATACTGTTTCGAATTCATTTTATTTGTTAAAATCATAACAATCAAAAATTAAAATTTTATAAAACATTATATTATTGTAAAACAATAATTATACAAAATTAAAACATAAAATAAGAAGTTAGAACACAATTATTTTTATGATTTATAAACATATTATAAATAAAATTTATTTATAAAAAATTTGTTAAAAAATAGTTGATAAGAGTGGTAGCTGGGTGAGATTGGTTTGACTTTGACCACATCCGACACGTTTGGCATCTTCCCTGTCTGTGTGTTTTCCCCTAATTCATAGTTAATTAATCCCAAGAACAAAACGCATCACTCAAATTCTTCATTACGCCTCACAATTTTAGTTTCAATTTTCAGAATTCATCTTTTTAATTCCTCGAAGCTCCCTTTTGTGGTGTTCGAATCGGGTGTTTGCTGTAAAAATCCCCCTTTTATTTGCTTCAAGAGGAGGGAAAGGTGCCATGATTAACCTCTTAATGAAGCTATTACAAACAATTTGAATGTTGAAGAAAAAATTGAAAGAAATTGCTAAATGGGTTCTTCTTTTGTCTGTTTGTTCTATGTTAATCAATGGAGAAAGGGAAGGTGATGCAGAACAGAAGACTCTTACAGAGCAGAGAAACAGCCGCCATTGGTGGGTGAGCTTCTGAGTTCTTTAATATCAAACATTCTCTTCTGCCAAATGGCGTTGACATTCTCTGTCTTTTGTGTTTTCAAGGAACCATCGGGCTTGCAGAGAAGACAATTTAGTTTATGGTTTCTGCCATTTCATGACAAAGTTTAAGGTTTCTGTTTCTGGGTTTTCCTCGACGAGGTCGGAGATTACGATATAACCCACCTTTACATGTCTTTCCATGTTTTTTTCCCTCTTTTTCTGATCCTTTCAAATGCGTTTTGGTTCAAATTTGCAAAAGAACTTCCAAAAGATTCATATCATTTCATTGTTGTTATGGATTCGATTTAGGTACTCAACCTTATGAGCTTTCGAATTGAAAATGTTCTTTAGTTTTGGCATTGAATTTCTGCTTGTGGGATACTAAAAAATGAGCAGCGGCAGAAGGAGAAAGCTGCATTTTAGCAAGATCTACTCGTTTGCTTGCGGGAAAGCTTCTTTAAAGGATGATCATTCACAACTTGGGGGACCTGGGTTCTCTCGTGTTGTTTTCTGTAATGAACCAAAGTGTTTTGAGGCAGAAATTCGTAGCTACATAGACAATTATGTTAGTACCACCAAGTATACTTTAGCTACTTTCCTTCCTAAGTCATTGTTTGAGCAATTCAGGAGAGTGGCCAATTTCTACTTTTTAGTCACTGGGATCCTTGCTTTTACTCCCCTTGCTCCTTACACCGCTGTCAGCGCCATCGTCCCTCTTATTCTCGTCATCTTGGCGACGATGATCAAAGAAGGGATCGAGGATTGGAGGCGCAAAAAACAGGTATTTATCATGTTCAAGTTTCTGCAACTCAAGTGAAAGATCAATGATGTTGCTTAATATTATTAACTGTGGACCTTTTCAGGATCTTGAGGTAAACAATAGAAAGGTAAAAGTGCACCATGGAGATGGAGTTTTTGGTTATACAGAGTGGAAGAATCTGATGGTTGGTGATATTGTGAAAGTAGAGAAGGACGGATTCTTTCCAGCTGATATTATCTTGCTTTCATCAAGTTATGAGGATGCAATCTGCTACGTCGAGACAATGAATCTCGACGGCGAGACAAATTTGAAACTAAAACAAGCGTTGGAGGTAACGTCGCATATGAACGAAGATTTTATCTTCAATAGCTTTAAGGCTATCCTAAAATGTGAGGACCCAAATGCAAATTTATACAGTTTTGTTGGTAGTTTAGAGCTGGAAGAACAACAATATCCTCTGTCTCCTCAACAGCTACTCCTTCGAGGCTCTAAGCTTCGGAATACGGATTATATATATGGGGTTGTTGTCTTTACGGGTCGTGACACGAAGGTTATTCAGAATTCTACTGATCCACCTTCAAAGAGAAGCAAAGTTGAGAAGAAAATGGATAAGATTA